GCAGGCAGACCACTTGAGGCCAGGAATTCGAAATCAGCCTGGCCCACATGGCAAAACCCCTGCCTCTACCAAAAATTACAAAAAATTAGGCAGGCTTGGTGGCATGCATATGTAGTCTCAGCTACTCTGGAGGCTGGGACACCAGAATCAGTTGAGCTGGGGATGCAGAGGTTACAGTGAGCTGAGATTCTGCCATTGCACTCCAGCCTCGGCGACAGAGCAAGGCTCTTAAGAAAAGAAAAAAAAAAATTATATGTATATAAACACACACACACACACACACACACACACATATATATGCCAAGTCAAGGCAGTTTTCATCCTTTCTATAATCTGAATTGGGCTCTCCATTTTTACTAAAATTCTTTCTTCTGTCAAAGTTGTAAATGCATGGCCTAAATGATTGCAGGCCCAGATCTTAGGGACTAACTGAAGATTATTATTTAAATGATCCCCTTTTTTCCTGGGAAAACATTTTTAAAATGTCATCCACTGACAAAAACATTGACAAAAAGGTGAGTAACTACAGATACCAAAAAACAATACTATTTTCCATAAGAGAAAATCCCAAAATATAATTTAGATTAAAAATGGAAAGGCCAGGTGTGGGGTCGGGGGTTGGATCACACCTATAAACCCAGCACTCTGGAAGGCTGAGGTGGGTAGATCACCTGAGCTCAGAAATTCGAGACCAGCTTGGGCAACATGGTGAATCCCATCTCTACTTAAAAATACAGAAATTAGCCAGGTACAGTGGCATGTGCCTGTGGTCCCAGCTACTCGGGAGGCTGAGGCAGGAGAATAGATCAAATCCAGGAGGTGGAGGTTGCAATGAGTTGAGATCGTGCCACTGCACTCCAGCCTGGGCAACAGAGCAAGACACCATCTCAAAAAAGAAAAGGCTGGGCACGGTGGCTCACACCTGTAATCTCAGGACTTTGGGAGGCCAAGACAGGCAGATCACAAGGCCAGGAGTTCAAGACCATCCTGGCCAACATGGTAAAACCCCGTCTCTATTAAAAATACAAAAAAATTAGCTGAGCATGGTGGCTTACGCCTGTAGTCCCAGCTACTCGGGAGGCTGAGGCAGGAGAATTGCTTGAACCCAGGAGGTGGAGATTGCAGTGAGCTGAGATTGCATCACTGCACTACAGCCTGCGCGACAGTGTGAGACTCCATCTTAAAAAAAAAAAAAAAAAAAAAAAGTTAGCACAGACATTATACACTAATTGCCAATTTTCAAATAAAATAAAATATACTCTAAGCCTACGTTGTCCAACATGGTAGCCACTAACCACTTGTAGCTATTTCGCACTGGAAATGTGCTAGTCTGAACTGACATGTGCTGTAAAATGCAAAGTGTCACCAGATTTACACCAGATTTCAAACAGTACCAAAAAATATATAGAATATCTCAATAGTGATTTATTCATATTGATTACACATTAAAGTGATATTTTGGATATGCTGAGTTAATAAAAAATATTGTTGGCCGGGCGTGGTAGCTCACGCCTGTAATCTTAGCACTTTGGGAGGCTGAGGTGGGTGGATCACCTGAGGTCAGGAGTTCAAGACCAGCCTGGCCATCATGGTGAAACCCCATCTTTAAAAAAAAATTTTTTTTTTAATAAATAAAATAAAAAATATTGTTAAAATTAATACTTTCTCAACCTGTTTCATGCAGTTACCACAAAATTTAAAACTGCATTTGTGGCTTGCTTTAGATTTTTATTGGACAGTGCTACCCTATACAAACTGAAAATATGATCCAACTTTCCTTTAATGATTCATCATGATGATGAATACAAAATATATAATAAATTGAGAAAAATCTTATTTACATTTTGGATACACAGATTAACATATTACCAAGTGGCTAATGCCCTTTTCGGCCTTAGCCCACCTGCACCCAGGTGAATTAAAAATTAAAATTTAAATTAGAAAAGAGAAAAAAGATATTATCAAGTAAGAATGGCATTTCTGAAAACTACTAAATTTACAACCAACTCCAGCTGTGTTAATAGAAGAAGGGCTCAGTCCCACAGGTAGTATTTTTAGAAATCACGAAGGAAATACAAAAGTAAAAGTCATAAAAGAGAGTCTAAGAGAAGTACCATATATTTCTAAAAGGCAAACAAAAGCAATGTGTTTTAAACTGATAATAGACCTTTTTTTTAAAAAAAAAAAAAAAGTATATTGTTTTGAGAAATTTGAAGAAATGTCCCAATTGCCAGCTAAATAAACTTGTTAAAAAGGAAACCTGTTAAGGTAGGAACTCAAAACTCTAATCACGTGGTATAGAAGTAAAATAACTGAATGAATCATATGGAAAATGTAAACCAAGTTTCTTAGCAGGATATTCATAATTAAATATTATACAATGAAGGCAACCAAAATTTTTCTAGATATATTTCAATGCCACCATAGTATGAATGCATCGATCGACTATTACAGGATTTAAGTAAAACTACTTTCAAAATTCTGAAACACCATAATGCCTTCCAAAATCTAGCCAGTGAGAATTAGAGAGGGAAGTTTCCTGCAACAGCTGGGGCTGCAAAAAATAAAAAATAAAAAAATAAAAATAAATAAAGGGAGGGATGTTTCCAAATGCCTTATTTTATAGAGATTAAAATTAAAAATTGAAAATTCAAAGCTATATTAACAATATCTGCATGACATTCTGTTCAGCAAGCATTTTTGGACCATCATCCTATCTGATCCTCAAGACAGCTCTCAGATATTGGTATATTTTTATCCCTACTTTGGAGGTAATTCCAGGCTCAAAGACCTTGACTTGTTCAAGGTCACATAGCTAAAAAGTGGGAGTACCATTGTTTGACCCCAGATCTTCTGATGCTCATTCAATTCTCTTTCCATTACAAGACAATTATTCATTTAAAACCAAACATTTAGAAACCCAACAAGCCTAATGCTAAAGAAAGATCTAAGTATCAAGTAGATCAAACCTTAAGACTTGGAAAACACTGAAAACCAGCTACAAAACATGCTGAAATGAGTTAAAAAAGGGGAGAAGAGATTATCAAGAGAAAGGAAATGAAAGGGGGTGGAATCTAATCGAAACGTCCTCGGTTGCAGCATACCAGAATAGCAATATTCAAGTAGAAAATGCAGAGAAATTGTACTTTCCTGTGAAATGTGATTTGCAAAGTAGTATTGTAGGTTATAAAACTGATTGTGTTACTTTACTATAAACGTGTTTGAGAATTTTACTTACTCCATAGGCACTCAGAAAACCAAAGCCTCCCCAACTGGGTACGATCAGTCCCACATTTTTTCGTAAGTCACGATGCTTACCTCCCAAAAAGCCAATTTTTAAAAATCAGAATTCAGCATACCCTATTTAGATTACAGGTAAAGGCAAGGGTCGGTAGGACGATGGCAAATTTAACGGCCAATGTCTTTCCAGGCGAAAGCATCCTTAAGGGCAGGACAAAGGCACCGCCACTACAAACGAACCTCGTTCAACCTTCAGAACACGGAGAACAAACCACTTACAGCAAAACGAACCAAGACTGCAGACACGGGAAAAGGGAATTCCTAAGATGGCTCTCCAAATCCGTGCACTCGGCACCGTCCTCAGTAAACCGCGAAGGCCACGGGAACGCGGGCGCCGGGCGTGGGAACTCCGGGCGCGGGTGCCCACCCAGCGACTCCCAGCGCGACCCCAGGACGTTCGTTTCAGGCGGGTCTCAGCTGAGCCACCCACGAGACCGGCCCCACCGTCCGACCGCGCGCCGGAGGGGACCGAGGCGATGACCGGCCCCAAAAGCATCTGCTTCTCTCCCCGGCAGCCCCGGCGGCCCCGCGGCCGGGGAGGCCGAGCAGGAAGGGCCCGCAGGCGGCCCCCGCCCCGCGCTGACAGCCCGGCGCCGCCCCACCTGCCCGCCCGGGGGGCGCCGCGGCCGGGCGCGCCCGCCCAGCCACTTCCTTCCCCGCCCGCCCGGCCTCGCACCGGCCCGCGGGGGCCGGGAGCCGCGGGAGGAAGGCGGCTTGGCCGGCGGCCCACGGAAGAAGCCACCGCCGCCCGCCCGCCCGCCCGCCCGCACCCACCGGCATCATCGCGGCGCGAGTCCGCGGCGCCCCCAGCCGCCGCCTGACAGGACGCTCCGCGCTGAGCTGTGCCGGCCGCTCCGGCCGCCTTCTAAGGCCGCGCGCCCGCCGCCGTGCTCTCCGACCTGGCCGCGGCGAGGCGGCGGCTGCGGCGGGCTGCGGGGCTTTCGCGGGCCCTGTCGCGGCCGCGCTGCGTCGCTGTCCCGGGCACCCGGCCGCCGCCGCCGCCGCCTCAGCCCCAGCCCTACCGCCTCTGGCCCGCCCTCCCGCTCGCTCTTCAGCCCCCGCAAGCCCCGCCCCCAGCGCGACGCCCCGCACGGGTCCCGTCCTTCCCTCTGATTGGCCGGGAGGGCGCGGGGGCGGGGAAAGGGCGGGGCTTCCCGGCTCCGCCCGCCACCCGCGCTCTCGGCGGCGGCCAGGTGCGTGCGCGTCCGCGCTCCCGGCGGCGGGGGAGGGGCAGGCGCGTTGTGGGCTCCAGTGGCCGCCCCGGCCCCTGCGTGAGCCCCGACTCCGGGAGACCGCGGACGGTGGGAGGACGGAGGCCCGACAGGGAAGGGTCCGGCCGGGTCCCGTAGCGGATCGCGGCAGGGCCGGGACTCGAACCTGGGCTCCTGGAGGTCGACGGTGGGCGGGGCGCGTCCCTGCGGCGACAGCGCGCGCCCGCGCTCTGACCGCGGCCTGACCCCCGCACCGGGCGCCCTGAGGCTGCGGCCCGGAGGCCGGTGGGAGGGGCGCGGGGGGCCCCCGACAGCGGGCACGTGACCCGGCGCCCTCGGTCGGCGGCTGCTTCCCTGCCGGCGTCTTCCGCGGCTCCCGGGGCCGCGTCCCCACCCCCACGCCGGCTCCCGAGCCTTGCCTTTGCCCGAGCGAGCTCACGCCTAGAAGCCTGCGCCCACCTGTGCTCGCCTGCGCCCACCTGTGCTCACCTGCGCCAGCATCCCTTGGTGTCCAGCTCCAGCGTCCCCGGGCAGGGTCCGGACCCCGTCTCTAGGGCCCGGGTCTCCCCCTGCAGCCGGGTCTCCGGGGACGCCGCCCCCTCGGACCTGAGCGCCGAAGTGACAGAGCCCCGGGCAGGGCCCCGAGCAGACCCTCAGCAAAGGCTGCCAGGAGGGCAGGCAGCCGTTCGGGGCCCCCCACATGGTGCCATTCGCCCGGACCGCCGCGGAGTGCAGACCGGGGGGCTAAGGTGCTCCCCGCCACAGCACCGAACCCCCTCGGGCACGAGAAGGGAAGGTCTGCGGATGGCCCCAGACACACAAGGCGTAAGCCGCCCTGGGAAGGGCCGGCTCTGTGGAGAAGGCCGCCGCGGGGTCAGGGTCAGTCTGGAGCCTGTCTGGCGCTCGGAGAGGCTTCTGGCTGCTGCAGAGTGGGGGCAGAGCAAGGGTGGAGGCCAGGGAGCTCCCACCAGCCCATTCCTGGGGAGCCACCCCTGTCCCTCAGAGGCCACTGGGGCCCGTGTTCGACAGTGCAGACTTTCCAGTTAGACAGACTTGGTTCAGCACCGCCTCTGTCACACCCTCGCCTGGGATCCTAAATAAGCCGCATCTTTTCTGCATTGTAGTGTGTTTGTATCTGTGATGGGAGACTGTAGGGATGATAGTGCTTGCCTCGTGTCGGGAATTGGGGGGGCTTGTTCGGATGCGAGGGCTGGAGAACTCCCAGCACGATTTGTGGCACGTGGTGGCTCTTCCATAGATAGCATTCTGTAGTGGGCGGTGATTAGCAAGAGGCTTCGTATACAGACAGACCTGGGATGCTGAAACCTAACCCACACCGGGGCATGGATGGCTAACGACACCCCTCTTCTGGGAGCAGGGTTTGGAGAGAGGAGGAAGCTCTACATAATCTAGATAATGAGCCGAGGCTGGAAGTCAGAGACATACCTGAGTTCTAATTCCAGCTGCTCTGCTTCTGACCTCCTGTGGGGCCTTAGGCAACTTGTACTCCTCCTCTGGGCCTTGGTTTCCCCAGCTTTGACAGCTGATGTCCCTTAGTCACCAAGGGGCACGGCTGGCCCACGAAGTCTGACCAGGGACAGGTTTTGCCAAGGCTCTTCAGAGAGGTGCCCCCCTGGGGTAAATGAGCCTGCTCTCCCAGGAAGGGGCGCATTGGCAGAAGGGCCTCCCTCTTTCCTGCAGGACCTGTGGGCACAGACAGTGGCAGCTACCCTGCCTCACACCGAAACCCCCCTGTATCCTCCACGCAAGGGTCCATTTGAAGCAGGCTGGTCAGCTCCCCCCCAAGGCCTTCCTGCTGGTCCCACTCCTCCTCTCCACCCAGCCTGCACTCCAGGCATCAGCCCATCACCTCCCACCTGGACCAAGCTCCTTTGTTATTGGTCCACTGCTCTACTCCACGCTCCCGCCATTCCGCACAAGCTCCGGCCTTCCATCTTCCTGGAGCACAAATGGCCCCACCCCATAAAACCCTCGTGCGTCTCCCCATTACCCAGACTAAAGTTCGCAAGAGGCCCATCAAGAATCGCCGTTTACGGTGGAGTGCAGTGGCTCACACCTGTAATCCTGGTACTTTGGGAGGCCAAGATGGGAGGATTACTTGGGGCCAGGAGTTTAAGACCAGCCTGGTCAACATAATGAGATTCCCCCATCTCTTAAAAAAAAAAAAAAAAAAAAAAAAGGCCAGGCACAGTGGCTCACACCTGTAATCCCAGCACTTTGAGATGCTGAAGTGGATGGATCATGAGGTCAGGAGTTCAAGACAAGCCTGACCAATATGGTGAAACCCCATCTCTACTAAAAACATGAAAATTAGCCAGGCGTGGTGGCAAGTGCCTGTAGTCCCAGCTACTCCAGAGGCTGAGGCAGGAGAATCGCTTGAACCTGGGAGGCGGAGGTTGCAGTGGGCCAAGATCACACCACTGTACTCCAGCCTAGGTGACAGAGCAAGACTCCATCTCAAAAGAAGAGGGATATAGGCATTAGAGTTATGGAAGAAAACGTCCATATTTTTCAGAGATGCATCCTAGCCTGTGTAAAGCCTCTGCAATTCATTTAAAAACAATTCAGCCAGAGGGAAAGAAAGCGAGGCAGCTAGGAATAGCTGAAACATACGTGGCAAATTCTTGATAACATTTGAACTTTGATGCTGGGTATTTTGGGCTGCATTGTACTTTACGTTTGAAATATATTGAAAATGATTAAATGGGCTGGGCAGAGTGGCTCATGCTTGTAATCCCAGGATTTTGGGAGGCCAAGGTGGGTGGTTCACTTAAGGTCAGGAGTTGGAAATCAGCCTGGCCAACATGGTGAAACCCCGTCTCTACTAAAATACAAACTTAGCCGGGCATGGTGGCATATGCTGGTAGTCCCAACTACTCGGGAGGCTGAGGCCGGATAATCGTTTCCACCTGGAAGGTGGAGGTTGCAGTGGGCTGAGGTGGAACCACTGCACTCCAACGCAGGCAACAGACCAAGACTTCATCTCATAAATAAATAAATAAAAATTAGCAAGGCATAGGTGCTCACTTGTAGTCCTGGCTCCTCAGAAGGCTGAGGCAACAGGTTCACTTGTGCCCAGGAGATGGAGGCTGCAGTGAGCCAAGGTCATGCCACTGCACTCCAGCCTGGGCAACATAGACCATGCCTCAGGAAAAAAAAAGAAAAAAGAGTAAAGGTTGGAGATTAAGGCTGGGCATGGCTGGGCACGGTGGCTCACTCCTGTAATTCCAGCACTTTGGAAGGCTGAGGAGGGCAGATTGCATGGTGGCACATGCATGTAGTCCTAGCTGCTCAGGAGGCTGAGGCAGGAGAATCACTTGAACCCAGGAGGCGGAGGTTACAGTGAGCTGAGATCAAGTCTCTGCGCTCTAGTCTGGGCAACACAGCGAGACTCCATCGCAAAAAAAAAAAAAAAAAAGAAAAAAAAATTAGCTGGGCGTGTTGGTGGGCGCTTGTAATTTCAGCTTCTCAGGAATCTGAGGCAGGAAAATCTCAAACCTTGAAAGCAGAGGTTGTAGTGAGTTGAGATTGCGCCACTGCACCTTAGCCTTGACAACAGAGCGAGACTCTGTTTCAAAATAAAAACAAAAATAAAGCCTGGGCATGATTGCTTACGCCTGTAACCCCAGCATTTTTGGAGGTCAAAACAGGAAGATCGCTTGAGCCCAAGAGTTTGAGACCAACCTGGGCAACATAGCGAGACCTCCATCTCTATTTTAATAAAAAAATTAAAATTTAAAATAGTTAAATACTCTTTAACAACAGATGAAAAATCCATTTAGGAGGGAGAGCAGGGCCAGGCGCGGTGGCTCACACTGTAATCCTAGCACTTCGGGAGGCCGAGGTGGGTGGATCACCTGAGGTCAGGAGTTCAAGACCAGCCTGGCCATCAGGGTGAAACCCCATCTTTTAAAAAAAAAAAAAAAAAAAGGAGGGAGATCAGAGGATATTCATATTAACATGAAGAAATTCTAGACAAATCCAGAGAACACTAATAAAGTGATGACTACACGTCGGATTGGGAACTGGGTAGATAAGGGTCAGAAATCAGAGTGAGGCTTTTCACTATCACTTTTTTAAGTATAAACTTTATTAGGCCAGACACAGTGGCTCACGCCTGTAATCCCAGCACTTTCAGAGGCCAAGGCAGGTGGATCACCTGAGGCCAGGAGTTCAGGATCAGCCTGACCAACACAGTGAAACCCCATCTCTGCTAAAGCCAAGTATGGTGGTACATGCCTATAATCCCAGCTACTTGGGAGGCTGAGGCAGGAGAATCACTTGAACCTAGAAGGCGGAGGTTGTGGTGAGCCAAGATCATGCCATTGCACTCCAGCCTGGGCAACAAGAACAAAACTTCATCTCAAAAAAATAATAAAAATAAACTTTATTTTTAGAACAGTTTTAGATTTACAGAAAAATTGCACAGTTTGAAATACTGAGTTCCCAGATACCCCTTTCCCCATCCAGCTTTTCCCATTTTTTAACATCTTACATCAGTATAGTACCTCTTTTACAATTAATGAACCAACGTCTGTACGTTAGTATCAACTCGGGTCCATACATTTTCTAGATTTGCTTAGTTTTTAGCTAGTGTCCTTTGTCTCAGAACATCACATGATGTTTAGTCGTTGTGTCTCCTTAGGTTCCTCTTGGCTGTGACAGGTTCTCAGCTTTCCTTGTTTTTTTTCTTTCTTGTTGTTGTTTTTTGTTTCTTTTTTTTGAGGGAGTTTCACTCTTGTTGCCCAGGCTGGAGTGCAGTGGTGCGATCTCTGCTCACTGCAACCTCCACCTCCCAGGTTCAAGCCATTCTCCTGCCTCAGCCTCCCGAGTAGCTGTGATTACAGGCGTGCGCCACCACGCCCAACTAATTTTGTATTTTTGTAGAGATGGGGTTTCTCCATATTGGTCAGGCTGGTCTTGAACTCCTGAACTCAGGTAATCCACCTGCTTCGGCCTCCCAAAGTACTGGGATTACAGGCGTGAGCCACCACACTGGGCCCACTTTCCTTGTTTTTTAGGCTAGTTTTGAGTTTGTTTTTAGGATAGTTTTGAGTGCTCATCAGGTATTTTGTAGACTGCCTGTCAGTTGAAATGTATGTGATGTTTTTCTCATGATTACACAGAGGTTATAGGTTTGCAGGAGAAAGACCACAGAGATACAGGACCATTCTCATCCAATTGTATCAAGGACACATATGGTCAGCACCACAGCACCGTTGATGGTGGCCTTCATCTCTCGGCTGCTGTTGCATTTCATGTTAGATTTTTTTTTCTTTTTTTTGAGATGGAGTTTTGCTCTTGTCGCCCAGACTGGAGTGCAATGACATGACCTTGGCTCACTGCAACCTCTGCCTCCCAGGTTCAAGCAATTCTTCTGACAGCCTCCCAAGTAGCTGGAATTACAGGCACCCACCACCACACCCAGCTAATTTTTTGTATTATTATTTGAGACAGGGCTTCATCATGTTGGCCAGCAGGTCTCAAACTCCTGACCTCAGGTGATCCACCTGCCTCAGCCTCCCAAAGTTCAGGGATTACAGGCATGAGCCACTGTACCCAGCCTCCTGTTTGATTTTTGAATCAGGTGACCATATTACTAAATTACAATAATATTTTTTAAAACTTGGCCGGGCGCAGTGGCTCATGCCTGTAATCCCAGCACTTTGGGAGGCTGAGGTGGGTGGATCACAAGGTCAAGAGATCGAGACCATCCTGTCAAACATAGTGAAATCCTGTCTCTACTAAAATATAAAAATTAGCTGGGCGTGGTGGTGCGCGTCTATAGTCCAAGCTACTCAGGAGGGTGAGGCAAGAGAATTGCTTGAACCCGGGAGGTGGAGGTTGCAGTGAGCTGAGATCTCGCCACTGCACTCCAGCCTGGCGACAGAGCGAGACTCTGTCTCTAAATAAATAAATAATTAATTAATTAAAAAAATTAAAACTTGCTGGGCTCTTCCAAGGCCTCTTGCGGTGGCTGGCAGATGCCCTCCCTCTTGCGGGCTCCTCACTCAGTCTTCTGCTGTGTGTGCCCCTGCCTGGTGTCTCTCTTTTCATAGGTCATAGTCACATTGCATTAGCGCCCAGCTGTGGGACTTCATTTCACCTGATTACGTCTCTGAAGACCCTACCTCCAGGCCCTTGTCCATCTACCCG